ATTACTATTCTAGCGCAACATACATCAGGGATTATAGTGCACCCGCCTCCGGAACCAGCTCAGCAAGAAATCCACTACACAGTGTGCAGCGTTCTCACCTTTTTCCAACTGGGCTGCCCATACTTGTTGCTGGCCTCCTCAAACTGTCAAAGTCGAAACGCTCTAAGTCTTTTAAGTCTGGAATTTATCCTGATCATCATTCAAATGGTAATATAATTGGTATTTTATCACCCATCACATCATGGTCTTTTCTTCGCCGCGTCAAGACTCCTTAGAATAATAGTCCTGCGCTCAATTAATCTTTTTATTGTATTTCTTCTGCTGTTTCCTTTTATTTTCTTTTCACAATCTTTCCTCGTTTTCCATCAATGTTTTTCCGATTGAATCCTTCATCTAATTACTAATTAAAACTAACTTCTGACGCAATCACGCCTTTATCATCTTACATTGGTGCGTGTATGCCATGTCACTTTTCTTCAACCCAGTTACCAGAATACAAGAATTACGATTGTGCACCATACCTTCCATCGTTGTACTTAGAAAAAGTAAAAAACATATTTTTAGACTCTCCTTCGCAGCAGGAGACTCAAGATATTAGTCGACGCGTCCCTTTATAAGTAATAGGCTTTTCAGATAATCTGTCTGCATTTTATTTTCTTATCATTCCAACGGCAATTAAAAAAAATAAAGTGACACGATGTTTAAACAAGGAAACTTTTTCAAAGCCTCCGCATATCTAACCTTCAACTAAGACTCCCCTTTCTATATATTTTAACTGTCCCTGATTTTAGACTTAGGTATTATAGATTACTCTATCTATTTTAACAATCACGCGCAAAGGAAGATTTTCGTTCGAAATAATATACTTTCCTTTGCACTGAGATCCCAATGCTCTAAAACTATTTCGCTCATTAGAGCGACGGGAAGTACTTCTTTCTTACGCTATGGACACTTGAAGGCAAAACAATCTTTTATCCCAGCGATTCTCAACTGATGGTACGCAAGAGAAAAATAGGTAGTACGCAAAGAAACAAAGTCTTTTTAACTATTAAATTCAAAAATTAAATACCCCAGCGCTGTTAAAGTGTTATCTCTAACACTAGTAGACTTATGTGATCTGAGCTATGTTCAGCGCCAAAAACCGCTCATAGACCTTGGGAAAATAACCCGTTTTTATTTTCACAAATGTTCTTTTAGTCGTAGACATAACAAAATTTGTCATAAATGATGTTTTTAAGGAGTGATAGAAATGGATGTTTTAATTAATAGAAAATAAAAATAAATTCCTATAAAAAGATAATAGTATCTCGTTAATTATATTAGAGTTGATCGATTTATTAGCATGTCTGCACTTTATGGCGCTTTATTTCCGGGCTCATATTGCTCTATTCTCAATTAGAATATTTTTTTACGTCGACGTGCTGTCTAACAGCAGGTATTTTGTCTTCTTGTTACTTTGTATTCCTTATTTTTCTACGCGATTCGAGAATATCGTCGTTTGCTTTTGAAGAACTCGTAATATATTGTGCATTTAAATATTTGTGAAAAAATAATAAAGCAAACCTACATTTCTATAATAGAAAAATGGCTAGGATTGACTAAGCGGAAAAGTGATGATTCACATGTGATGGATCCAGGACAATCTACTAGCACTAAATATTGAAAAGAAAAGAAAAATTGTTTATAGAAAATACAATGAAAGCTAGTTATCATTTGGGTTTACTTGGAATGAAGATAAAATGGACCTTCAAACTTCAATGTGTTGTTTCGGTTGAACTATTATTCAATCAAAGTATGGAACCATCGTTTCTTAAAAGATATCCCGAATCTAAGCATGCTAATTTAAAGGATAAATTTGAAGAATATTTTAAAAGGAAATCATCGGCGTTCAAAAATAGTAAACAAATAACGAATGGTTTTTGTTATTTCAAGTGAAGAAGCTTTGGAAGCTAGTTACTTAATAAGCCTAAGAATTGCCAAGGCTAGGCAGGCTCACACTATTGGAGAAAACCCTATATTACCAGCAGCTAAAGATGTCGTTTTAACATTATTCAACAAAAAAGTGGCTAATGAACTTAATAATATTCCATTATCAAATGATACACTTAAGTCAAAGAATTCTTGAAATGGCAAATTCCATAAAAGAGGCACTTATTCAAAAGATAAAACACAGTGAGTATTTCGTATTGCAATTAGATAAAACGAACTTAGTTCAATTATTAGTTTACATACGTTTTGAAGAAGAAAAACGAATTGCTAAAGGCTCTTTATATTGTGAATCTCTTCATGATACAGCAATTGAAAGCGAAATTTTCAAAGCAATTGTCACTTTTATGTCTGAGAATGATATTCCTTGGAATAAATGCATTTCCGTATGCAATGAAGGAGCTCGTGCTTTGACAGGAAGATTCCGGTGTTAATTCTCAAATAAAAGAAAGTCGCACCTGAAACTAAATTTACTCACTGCTTCATTCATCGTAAAGATTTAGTAGCCAAAATTATCTCCAAAACATGAGCATCCTTTTGAATCAAGCTGTGAAAATTGTTAATTTTATTGAGAGCCGTGTTTTAAATTCAAGAACATTTACGATTTTATGTCAAGAGATGGGCAGTGAACATGAAACGCTTTTGTTACATTCCGAAGTAAGGTCCACAGGCGCATTTAGCATATTTAGCTCATATTCTTGAAACGTTGAATGAATTAAATTAGGGATTACAAGGACAAAGTGATAATTTGTTTACCATTAAAGATAAAATAAATGCGAGGTTAAAAAATTTGAGCTAATAATCAATAAATTGCATTATAACATTTTAAGTTCTTTACCCCTTTTAGAAAGGTCTTTTAACCGAAAGTAATTTGAAAATGAAAGGAGAATTAGCATCCGACATTAAAAATCATTGTTTTTCATTGATAAATAATTCAACATGTATTTTCCCGAGGATTATGAAAGCGAAAATTGGATTAGAAATCCATTTTGTTCAAAAGTACCTGAAATTTTATCTTGTGAAGAAAATAAACAATTGACAGAAATTTCCTATGATCGAATACTAACTGAAAATTTCAAAAATAACACCCTTATTAACGTTCGGCTGAACCGAAAAAAGAAATTAAAGACATTTCAAATATAGCTATTAAATTTTTATGGCCTTTCTGCGAAACCTATTTGTGTGAACAAAGATTTTTCTTCCACGTTATAGTTGAAAAATAAGTACAGAACAAAATTAAAAGTGGATCTTTATTTACGGTTAAAAACTAAGTGAAATAAGGCCAGTCATAAAGAACAGGCCCGAATTTCGCACTAAATTTTAGAATTAAAGTATTATAACTTAAATTTTGATAATTAAAATAATAATCAATTTTCAATCTAATATTGTTCTCGTCTGTATATTTAACACAGACAGAATTATAGGTTGTACAAATTGTAAAATATTTGTTTAATATATCTGTTGAGAAATTGAAAAATAATCATTGTAAAATGTAATAGTGGTACTAAAGTTTTTCAATTTTTGTTAATATGTTACGCGTTAGTAAAAAGGTTGAGAACCGCTGCTTTATTCACAATTATTTTTTTTTCTCTCTACGTTTCTTAATAAGAATTATTAACATTCCCTTTCATGAAATTTAAACAAACAGACTTATTTATTAACCTTCGCTGAAGTTAGATTGCTAAATGACAGTTTAAAGCAAAAAACCTCTACCTGATTTATCTGAAACAATCTTGTATAAATGAATAGCAGTTTTAAAAATTAATTTCTGTGTAATAAAATAATAGACTTTTGTGTAACGGAAATTATATAGAAATTAAACTATCTGCGTCACAAAATTGCCTCTCATGTTTCGCAGATAAATTCTCTCTCGAATGAGTTATTTGGAAGTAGGTTATTGCTGAATGTACATTGAAATGAGTTATTCAACATCATCTAGGAATCAATTAGCTGATTTGGGATATGATTTAGAAATCAGTTAGCATTTCTTTCAAGACAAGACATTCTTTTCCCTTTTCTATGCTGCCAATTCCCAAATAGATTGTTTTCGATTTTAAAGCTATTATTTGTGAGCTCTCTGGTAAAATTTTTATCTGAACTAAGATTCGAATATAGTTCTTAATATACTGAAAACCCTCCTGTCTTCCATGTGAAAACGAAGCAATTTTAATTTCATAGGAATTTCCTCAATCACATAAAGAAGTCTTCAGCAAATGCAACTATTATTTCTTAATTCACTTTAGTTAATTTGTAAATACACTGTGCTCGTAACCAATGAGAAATTATCACATCTCTTCCTGTGTGTTGTCATGGTATATGAGATTAGCATGTTCACTTGAAAGTCGGAAAATCCTCAGCTTGAATCCTGGTAAGGCCATGTTTGCTTTATCACAATTTTTGTTCTGAAAGAACTTTGTCTCGACAATGGCACTCGAACTAGAATATGGCAGATTATAATAAATCTCCTTCTGGATTTGGAAGACTGGTCCCATGCCTCTCTCCAGCTGCCCTTTAAGTGAGTGGATAATAGTATAAGGAATTATCGCATTCCCTATGCAAGCTCTCGTGGGACAAATAATTAATACTCCTATTCGGTGACGGAAAATCCAAGATCGGAATCTCGTCCACTGCATACACAATTTTTCTTGTTTCTGGTTTAGAAAACGTTAACAGACTTTTTAAGCTAAACCGATAGGTCCAGCTGAAAAAAAGCCCATTACTTGCTCACTTTTTGCGTAATTAAAATTTCAATTTTATTTATTTCTGTGCTTCTGAAGTTTCAACCTTCTCCATAAGTAAGATATTTTATACAGTTAATATTCATCATGTCTAAATCCTTATTACGTGATTTATTGATGTTTGACAAACATCTTATTTTCGCGTAATTTCAGGGGAGAAGCACATGTCAGCACCGACTCTCATCTTCTGCTACCCGGAGCACGAGTTCTCGTCACTGCGGTCAGACGGACCAGAAGACTGGAGTAACGAGGATGCCTCGGACAGTGATCTTGATGATTTCTCATTCATCGAAAGGTATCGGTCTTCCCTTTGCTGCCGATGGTGGAGGCCGAAGCAAGCCAAATTAAAACAACTCGTTGATCATCGTTATTTCCAGAGAGGAATTTTGACAGCCATTCTTGTCAACACTCTCAGCATGGGCATCGAATACCACAACCAGGTAAAACGAATCTTTTCTCTATTCTCGTCCATATACAGAAACTACATATTGAAGCCATCCTTGTTTAATTTCTTGATTTAATTAAAGCATAATTTGTATTGTAAATCAACTGATAGCTGACTGTTAATATCATGAGTTGCATATGGCTAATAATTTCGTATTCTCTGGTCCTAAAAAGTAACCACAAAACTATTATTATTGACTGTAGGCTTCATGATATGTTTAATGTTTTGTGCTTTCGTAAGGCGACGCACGATGCAAGATGCACAATGCATGTATACATGTTACATATAAAAACTGATTTTGGTCAAACTATTGTTTCGCATAAACAACCAAAAAGTTATCATTATCTTACACTTTAAGAACATAAATTCCTTGATGCTAGTAAATCTATTTAAAACGACATTTCAAGTTATTTTCTTTTGGTACTATTCTATCTGCAAAGCTAATTACTTAATAATTTGAAGCTAATTACTTTAAATAATTTGAAGTAAATACCAATATCTCGAAATCAGTCGGGTTTATTATTTCACGGTGTATTCCTTAATACTGATCATATTAGAAACACTGCGCTGTTTGAAAGCACTTCTTAAACTTCCCCTCGTGAGGAAGCATTTGTCTTTGCAAATCTCATTTTACTTTGATTTCTGATATATATGTTTCTCGTGTAATAGTTGCTTTCGCATTTGAGCATTTTCAGCTAAATTTTTAAAATTTTAATCTATGGTTAGCTAACGAGTGTCTATATTCGCGAAATTATTCGGTAGTATAAAATCAGTATAATGAATAAAACTAGATTGGTAAGTATCAAAATATATTTAACGGAATGATGATATTAGGTATACAGATAAATGATTTAACAACGAAAGAAACATTTTCAATCCAAAGGGATTTTATTTTAACTATGTATAACTATTTTGACCCGTCAGGAATAATAGCAAGTATTCAAGTATGTGAATGCATAAATTGAAATGCCCCTTATTCGAGAAGTAAAAAAGAGTTAAGCCTAGAAGAGTGCATTTTAGACTGTTAAGGGAGTTTCTGCATTTGATATCAAAAAGAAAGTACAAATTATAAAAAGCAGAAAGCTAGATAACAATTTTATTCTGTAACACAGTTTTCTGAAAAATAACCAAATTTCGTCCAAAAATACTGCCAAACAGGCTGAAAATTACAAAAGGTGTGGCAAAATGAAAATTAAATTTCAAAATTGATTGTGTACTATTTCAACACAAGAACAACAGTACAGTCTCTTCGCTTTTGTGCGATTAGCTTTATTTTTCAGGAATTTAATCATTTAGCGAATTTTTTAGTTCCCTTAATGAATAACTTCATAAAACCTTAAGCAGCAAAATTTCTTCCGTAACAGAATTCCGAATGCAATGACTAGATTCAGCAATAGCATTTACTTTGGGAGTTCACCAGGAGCCGAGCGATAAAGTCACTGAACACTGGTAGTTCGGGCTTAGGAGCGATTCCAGGCGAACGGGATGGCTGCATGAGTGTTTTCATGGCTTTCCTCGTGTGTAACGTGTGTGCGAACCATATTTCCTTGGAAAGTTCTCTACGAAGGCATCTTTTCCTTAGGCAGATAGCCGTTGCGTGTTTGCCATCATTAAATCTAAACCATCTACTTTGGAAAATATCAAAATATTCTATGGTGTCTCAAAAGGAATTTCCAATTTTAAATCTCTTAAAAACGGAAAGAATAAAAAAAAATAACGTTATTTTAGCTTTTCGTGCTTCAATGTCTTTCGATAACTGTCGTCTGAGATTTATTTGCAGCACAAGTATCCGCGAGGAATTTGAAAATATAATTCTGATAACTTTTTCTGCATATAAATAAATTTATTTGCAGTGCAGATGCTGTATTTTATATTTTAAGTATTGTATGCTAAATTATTGGAAATAATGTCTTATAAGCTATTTTATAAGGTCAGGGCCAGGCATTTTTGTACCAGTTAAAAGTTTTAAAATTTCCTCTTAACCATAAAAATTGTTGGTCATTAAAATCTGCCATAAGATTTTATTTGTAAATTTTTTACCTCGGTCGTCTGTTCGTTGTTGCTTAATCTTTTAAAGCAAGGAACGCGATAAATATCTATCTAAAGGAAACCTCGTAAGATGTTAAACGATAAAATATGAGTTGCAGTTCACATATGTTTTAATAGATATTTAATATTAAATTAATTTATGATTTTTTTAATTTTGCATCGTGTAATTTTAAATTAGCTGTATAAAAAAGAAGATTTAAAATTTTTTGAACTTTTTTAAGGCTTATTTACATATTAAGGGCACAAATTCTACTTATGGTTCCTCAATTCCTTGCAGTAATTGACATAGATTCTCAATAAAATTAAAAACTCTGCTTAAATAATAGTATTATGCTTGGATGACATTCATTGCAATAAATTATCTATTAAAAAGAATTCGTTTAGAATTCGTTTGTTTATTACAAATAAAAGAAAAAGTGGACAAGATTAAAATCTGAATTCGTTAATGGTTATCACAAAACAGTGCGAAGCAATGCAAGGTAGGTGGTCTTTTGTTTCTAAGTACAAATGCATTAATTAGCATCTATTTACTCCTTCTGGGTTTTTCAGTCTGAAACAAAAGGTATTCAGAAACAAAGAATTTGAATTCAACATCTTCCTCAAGCTTCTAGTTGAATAATCGATTTTCATTGTCCTTTTCGTTCCTCAAAAAGCATGAGATTAGTTGATGCATTCTTTGGAAGTCTTTTGTCTGTTGTCGAAAAGCCGAAGCGTCAGAGCAGATTCTTTGAAGTACAACATAAAGGCCTAGGAAACCTTTGAATGACAATTCATGTCAAGCTATTTGGACACTGATTTCATTTCTCCGTGTATGAGCTTAGACTCTTAGCAACCCCATTCCAAAAAAAAATCGCAGTTATTTTGGCAACTGAAACCTCGTAATTTCTCTTTTGGTAGATTAAGGTAGTTTTTATCTAATCATTGCTAATACTCGTTTTCGATATAAATGGACAGGTTTTAAAAGAAAGAGAATATGAATATTTTAGTAGTGTCTGGAAATACTGTTCTTATGACATCCACATATATTAAATTTCTTTTAGATACTGAAACAGAAGCTGTGTTTTATATAGATTATTTTGTTATTGTTTATTTTGATTTTTTTAATATTTTTTATTCGTTTAGATTATACCACAAATTTTCAAAAATTTCAGGCTTAAAAAAAAACGTGTATGTTATTGGTGTTGTTTGGCATTTACCATAATTAAGGAACACCTGAATAAGAAATGAAACAAATTTCTCAGCGGATCTCTCAACATGCGTACACGCAACTGTATTTTTATTTCGGCTGAAGCTTAAGTAATTCGTTCTTCTTCATCCATATTCACTTTGGTATATAAGCATCGTTTTACTTTCGTGAACGCGAGATCTAGTGAAACTTCGATGCTAAAGTAAACAGTGGAGAATCAGTCGCTACTGTATTCTGATGTCTGCAAATTGATTGCCTTTTTGCTGCAGCTTCGCTACCATGCCAAATGCGTGAAGGGGGCCTTTCATAAAAATAATGCGTGGACTCCGAAATCTCTACAAGCTGTTGTGCAGTCATATGGGGGAGGGCAACTGAGGTTTACCACCACAGGCCATCTTTAAGGGGCTTATCATTGAGGCCGAAATAACCATCATGCGTTCAATTAAGGATTACGAATTAGTCAGGAAAGAAAAATTCTCAAGATTTTAAATAGAAACAATTTTAATTGAATTCAATCTTTTGAACTCAATTAAAAGTTTTGAAATGCATTTTTAATTGAATTCGAGAGATTCAAAAGATAATTTATCTGCGGTTTCATTTGAAAATATCTTCACAATTAATAACGCTATGAAACCGATTTAATTTATGGTAATACGCATGTTTTTATAAAATCAGTCGTAATATGACATTTCAGAGTTATAGTAGTTAATTCTGAATGAAGCTTTTAACAGCTTTGGATTTTATTAGCAAACCTCACAGCTATTGCTTGAAGTTAAACTGCTGAAAATCAATTCTGAGCATCTTCTGAATCTAATTACGTAGATTCCACAGGCTTACTCAAATTTACTGACATTTGCAGAGATTTTTGAAACCTCTGACTGCACAAATGCAATCGATGTTTCAAATCCCTTTTCGTTCCATCTTAAATCGAGGCCGAAACGTTTCTAATATATTAGTATTTAAGAATGCTATTTACTTAAGCGCATTAATATGCTTTACTTTCATCTCTGTAAAAATAAATGAAGAATATGTAATAAATAATGAATAATATAATAAATAATTAAGTAATGAAGAATATGTATGTATGCAATGTTCCTAGCATTGTAAAAAAAAAGGCGGCACCTAGAGCCATCACACTTTGAACATACATATTCCTCTGTCCGAAAAGCCCAAATTTTGAATTTTTTAAATTTTATTCATATTTTATGCAATTTGATAAAATATCTTAAATTATCAGCTAATATGTGCGGAGTGACAAAAATCCCATGACTGGATAAAACCAATCAGATGATTAAAAAGTAAAATAGCAGAACGAAAGTAATATAAGTATAGTTGAAAAGATCTAAAAAAAAAAAAAAAAAGCCGAACCATATTTCATTCTCCGTATTTAATTTTTAAACAATGAGATGATTTCATGCTCAGGAAAAAGAAATCTTATAAAAACTTTTGCTTCATTTCCATTCTTTTCTGGACATAATTAAAAATAGTTTTTATATTAAAAAAATTATCCGTTTGCGCTTGCCTAAAACAGTTATCATAAAAAACGAAAACATATGATGATATTGTTGAGCTCTGTTACTCTAATTTCATGGTTTCAGTTAGTAATTAATAATAATAGGGATAAGAAATGTATCTATTGTTTTTACATCACTTGGTTTGCTACAGTCTGTTACTATAACATGGGCACTTCAAGGCCGTTGCGAGCCTTTCCATTTGCGATCGTAATGCGAGTCATCATTACCATTTATTTTCTCCACCTC